ACGCCAACGCCGAGCACATCCCCGAGTTCAGGAACATTCCCATGATTGCCGCGAAGGATATTCACGCATGTCTGCCGCCACGGTTCAACGGGGGGGATGCTGACTTGGCGGCCGCTGAGGCCGCCTTCGACGTGATTAGTAACACGAAGACCGGGGACATCGGTCTGTGAAGGTCGCGAGCGTTGGATGAGTTGTCTATGTTTATGTTTCTTGGCCGACGAAGTACGTCTTGGTAGTCAACGTGGTAGGTTGAATTTGGAATTTGAATCGGAGAGGGATGGGAAGGATTGATTTCGGCTCTGGGTGGGGGGTAGCTGTGTATTTGCGGGTATCGTTTTGATGCAGAGGGCCATCGTGTTGTGCGTTGAGCGCCCTTGACGCTGCCTTTACCTTCGTCTCACACAAGAACGTCGTCAAACTCGTCATTTTGTGCAGGATAATTACAGGGGTGTATCGGGTAAGTACCGGGGGTGCTCGGGACGTACAGAGTTCTGTAACACCCCCTTGTACCCATCAGAATAGTTCTGTGACATCCATTCACAATACCCTGTCTGCACAGAAAGTTCTGTGACGTCCATTCACAATACCCTATCTGCACAGAAAGTTCTGTATCATCCCCCGTACCCTACAGGATTATTCTGTGTGTTCTGTATCATCCCCGTACCCTACAGAATAGTTCTGTGTAGTTTGTATCATCCCCCGTACCCTACAGAAAGTTCTGTGACGTCCATTCACAATACCCTATCTGCACAGAAAGTTCTGTATCATCCCCGTACCCTACAGAATATCAAGGATGGTTCTGTGATACCCCCTGTACCCTACAGAGATTACCCGTACCCTACAGAACCCGCCCTTGGAAAATTCTAACCAATAGGTTCATCTATACCCATTCCCATCCGTCAAGAAGAGTCTTGGATGAACGGTTAAGATGCTGCTGATGTTGTTACACAACCCGGGTGACCTCCTGTCCCTACCCGTCAAAGAGACGAGATTTACCAAAGTGCTGCACTGCCGTAGCGAAGCAGCCAGTAGTGTGTGGTCCACTCGACTAGCAAGGGGTTCGTTTTCCTCCCGACGTCAGTTCGATGTCCAAAAAAAACACAGACGAGACCAGGCACCTACGTTGAGGTTCGCTTAGGCTATGAGCAGCGCACACACACCGCCGAAGGCGTTGACGTACGGCACTTGGGAACCTTGCTGGGTTCGCGGACCTCAACAACAGTAACCCCCTGGTGTTCATCACTCACCAATCTGCGGGGCCTCCTCCGGTCCCGCAAGAGTCCACCTCCCAGGTTTCCTCGCCCTCCTCAAAAACTCCGAACTCGTCGAGGATCTTCTTGTTCAGACAGCCCTCCGCGCATGGACTGATCGGCAAGACAAGAGGCATGCCGGAGGAGGCGAGGAGGGGGAAAAAAGGATTGGTGTCGAACAGTCCGGATCAAGGAGCAACGAAAATCACCTCCCCGCAGTGACGAAAATAAAAAATGCAATGCGAAACTGTAACGACACTCGACGAAAGGTGTGCAGAATATTGATAATGAAGCAAGCCTGCGACAAGAATCAAGGTGTCGTAAACACGAGCGACGTTGAAGCATGGTGCTCCAGTAAACAACGTCGAACGCCAGCAAGATCATGATGTGCTGGTGCCGGTGCAGCCCTACTCGGGCTTGCCAGGAGAGCCTCTATCAACACGCACACTACATGTATGTGTCCGCTGCTAGATATACCGTGCAAGTTATCATCGTTGAACACCACCGAGTAACAACACTGTCGTTGTCTGCCCATGCCAATTCGGCCAAGAGCGTCCGCGCGCGGACTCGTCAGCCTAACGGGTCCAAAAAAGGCCCCGGTTCGCTTTCGTCAGCCTGACGAGCCCAACACATCCTCGCTCACCAATACAAGCATCCCTTCTCGGAAGCAGGACATAACATACGACAGCGCTCACACACACTCTTACCTCTCCCTCCGCCTTCGTAGGCGCGACGGTAAATAAAAAAAAGAAAGTAACTGAGTCCACAGCCACACATGCCCACCTGCAGATCTTCTGCCCTCCTACGGCCCCACCAACCCCTTCCCCTTGGTGGGCGTGAAACAAGTACAAAAAACAACAAAGGCGTCGAAATTTACATGAGATGCTCAAGTTTCGTCGACAAAACACACCGACTGCAGGGCACCGACAGCAGGGCATCCAACCTTCTGGCCAACCCCCCGTACAAGACATGAGCGAAAGCACAACACACCTTGTCATGATGTTGTACAGGCACACGAACAATACCCTCGATATGTCCGTCCCTCCGACGCACTCCCCCGCCATCATCCTCAAGGGCTTCCACGACGACGACGACCGCCAACATCTTGCCGCACGACCCCGTCGTCGAGCGTCGCTACCGGCCATCGCCGCCGCCCAGTTGGAATGCCCGATGGATGCCGGTGCCACCCCTACCGCACTTGTTGTACTGGAGACTACGGGCGTCGACAGTAGTAGAGAGTTTGACCCTGCCAACGGCGAAAAGAGGTATGATTAAAGGGGGAATGTTATGTTAACATCAGTCAGGGTGAGCGGCCTGATTGTTTGCCTTGTCTTCAAATCATGGTTGTACAATGGCCGAGCGTCCCTTGTTGCGAGATAGTCCCCTGCATGTGAAACCACGCTGCAATAAAAAAACTTTTGATCGATCAATCACTGCGTGTTTCGTATTGTACGGCATCAAGACGCACCACTCTAAATAGGAGGTAACACGAATATCTGCGCAGCTTTTAGCGAGTTTATGGTTCAGAAGAATACTGCTGCGAGCCATGGTCCTTGTTTGTTGTTTATGGTACGACATCAACATCCACCACCAGTTCGTGCTGGTTACTGCCGTTGCATGTGCTACCAGCTCTCTGCGTCCTCTCTGCATATACAGAAAGGCCCGTAGGCGAGTCGTCTGCGGAAGTACCTGGTCCGGTGGGTTCGTGCTACAACAAAAGTTATGGAGGCATCACCATCACCACAGAAGGTACTTCACTCCACGAATACGGTCATATCTCCACAAGACGTCGAACCCACCGAAAAAAAATGCAGATATAGAAAGCAGGCATCCAGGCGGAAATTACTGCGGCGGGACCATTCCCCGAAATGGAGTATGTTGTCCCGAACCATTTTTCAAGGACCTATTCTCAATTTTTCCGCCCACATCACAGCCAACGGCTGCACACAAAAAAGGCTGGCGGCGCGAGGCCATGACCTTCGCTGTGCAGGGTAAGCCTCTGGAGTGCATCACGGCAACGTGTGCCGAGGCTGGCGGTGTAGAGCTTTGCAGTGTGCGGCTTGCAAAGCTTTCCAAGTCATATCGGTTGGAGATAATCGGGGATCTGCCCTGTGGAGCACGGAGGAGATGGTACAGTATGGTAATAAGAAGTAATTGAGCAATTTCATAAACGGTTATAGAACAATGACCTTGAAGGTTGTTGTCTTCACATTAAAAACCATCCCGGTCTCTCCGAGGTTACATCTACATAAAGGCATACTACCCGGTCGCCCCGGTGGTCTAGTGGGTAACTTCGCAGCCTGCTAAGGGCCAGGTCATGGGTTCGAGTCCCGGCAGAGTGAGTTCTTTCTCACTTATTGAATCCTGGTCTAGGATGAAAGAGACGCGCTGCCAAGCTCGTTGTTAGTAAACCATAATCGACTTTGTAAGTCGCGAGGGAAGGGATTGCTGTACCATTCTCGCGATAAAAATACCTCAGGCAGGAACCGCAGGAGGGGGTCCAGCCCCCCCCTCCTATGTGACCCCAGTTGGGTCGTCTAGCTAGTAGAAGTGGAGGATAGGGGCCAGAGGGGCAGAAGACAGAGTCCAATGATGGGAAAAAAAAAAAAATGTCTGCTTCGATAGAGATCTCTACACCGCCTGAGTCAACATCATGCGCTGATTTGTTACTTGTTTTGCACCCGAGGCCTCCGGTTCGAGTCTCGCGACCCTTCCTGTTCGTCTTTTGTTCCTGATATTGTTTCATTATTAACGTATTTTTCCGATATTTTTATGGTAAAAAAGGAATGCACTTGTCTTCGACCCCACAAAAAAATATTTCATCACCAGGCCTTGTGGGTGCCATCACGGGCAATACGTTCAGTGGACCCCGCTTAATGGACGCTCGCGTTAAGGAAACTCCCCGCTTGAAGGAATCATTTTTTCTGAGCACCAAGGGGCCTGGCAGAATGTACGGTAATGGGGTACCCCCCTGTTGTCTGCCGCGTACTCCCCTTTTCGTGTCCTGCGGGCCACTCTTTGCACCCACCGCGCACCACATTGAGTGCAGAAGTAGCGACGCACAGACAGCAGAAGTAGCGAGCGGTCTGCTGCTGCAGCTGTAACAGGGTGTTGGTATGGATAGATTCCTCCCATCTACCGGCGGTCCATCTGATGCCGCCAAAAAAAAAGTCGTGCGTAACCTCGTCCTTCACCGAGGGCGAGATTATCTCTCGCTTGGAGGACGTTCGATCCTATTTGTACGCGAATGGAAGGGGTGGAGGGTACCGTGAGACGCAGTACCTTCTTTCGAAGACCGTTCATTCGTTTTCTCATGAAACTCAACAGAGCCGTAGAGCCAAGCCGCGGGGGGAGGTTCAGGGAGCTCTTCGCGATATGCGGAGGGAAAAGCCGTCAGGGTAGCTTTTGGTCTCCGCCGGGACAGTTATATGTACTGGTGTACCTTGGTGAGACGCTGAATACGCTAGTTTTTTTAATAGTTTCACAAGAATGAGATAAATATACCGTAAACGTCGGAGTTGTCCCCCGGGGGAAAGGATCGTTTTTTTTCTGAAATCAACCCCTCGGGGGAAATTGACGTACCGGGGGGGGTTAGTTTCTATTTTTCCAACGCTACACCGTGGGGAAGCCCCCCCCACCGTGGGGAAGCCCCACCCCGGGGGGTTGTGCAAAATAATGATGGTCCACACACTTAACACGCAGAGAGTGGCGAACTGAGATGGATAAGGTTTACGAGCAAGCAATCAATAAGCAGAGGGAGGAGGAACGTGAGAGCTACGAAGGCGAAGAGAAAGAAGACAGCAAGGAGGACAGCAGCCGAGGGAGTTTGTCTCGTCACGCAAGTTTTTTCAAGAAGAGGAAGGGCCTGCCTTCCAGTGACAAACGGTACACCTTAATCTCGCTCGAAGCGCAGATCTGCAAACGAATTTTCCGTCCCATATCATGCATTTTGCGCTCCGCGATGCAACAAAATCGAATCAGAAAATTAGAGAAATACATCACCCCCGGGGGGAAATTGTGGGAAAACTGGTACCCCGAGGGGAAATTGAAATACAGTCGAGGGACCCTTTTAGTGCCGGTACGTGCACAGAGCGTTCACCGGCACTAAATCGGGCACCCGGCACTATTGCGAATAGTGCCAAAACGGCACTATTGAGGGCTGGCCAATCCCTCATTAGTGCCGGTACCGGCACTAATGAGGTTGTGTTCGATTTATGGTGTAGCGCCCACGCTTACGGGGCCAACAAAGAACGAAATGGATCGACACTATTACTGTACTGTTGAGTGAAGTTCCAGCATGGGCGTGGGCAGAGTTGAGTTTTCTTTTTGTTGTCTTGGGGCGCTCTTTGGTTCTTCATTTTCTTCTGCACCTCACTTATTTGCTTATTTGTGTACTGTCGTCGGGACAAATTCTCTCCTGTTTGCCTGGCGCACCCGCTTCGATGTTG